GGAGGCAGAAGTTTTTCCCCTACTTAGAAGTCCTTAAATCTGGAGCACATCTTCTCAATCCCTGCCACCCTTGACCGACCTCCAAAAGGATTCCAGCTGTTTGTTCTTCCAATAGTTTCTCCCTCTCTAGAGAGTCACAGCTTACATTAGAGCCTTGCCATTTGTCCCCCGTACACACACGTATCACATAGAAAGGTATGCACATACACACGTTCATAGCATACATATAGACACACCAGCTCTCCATTTGATACCTCACCCTTATATTTCATCCTCTGTGAAGAGAAGAAAAATACAAGGTCAAGAAGGCAACTGTGAATATCTAAATAACTGAAGAGAGCAGGAGCCAGAAAATCTACAAAACTAAATGATCCCATGTGCTCAAGTATTTCTTCCACAGACAAAGCACTTACCTCATTGCCGTCCTATCCTTTTCTTGGCTGTGTCTGTCCCTCTGTGATTCATAAGGAGCACTGGGCAAAGGTGAGGAGGCTAATAGAGCCTACTTCTGCCACAATTGATTTACTGCCCTATAAAATTGAGAGCAATTGGAGGACTGGAGTGGTAGTCCCTCCTTTGTGTTCTTGTTCATGCCTGATTACTGTGCTTGTCACACTCTATTGTGCTGGCCTGTCTGCTCATCTAACACCAAGAGTGCAAAGGAAGGAAGGCTCTGTCCAACTTTCCCATGGTTATCTCCATAATCAACATGTGCCCAACATCCATAACATACCCATAGCTGTTAACAAACAGCTAGCCATTTGCTGACTGAGTGAAAATAGGATAAATTGCTTATGTTGTGTCAGATTCTTTCTGTCTTCATTTTTGTCTTCTAACGTTTTGCCTGAATTCAAAATTTCAAATATGCTTCCCCCATAATTATTTGAGTTTTCATAGATGATTTTATTTATGTGTATGACTGTTTTGTCTGCATGCACAGATGTGCATTACGTGTGCGCTAGGTTCCCATGGAGGCCAGAAGAGTAAAGTTAGCATCTGACATGTATCAAGCAGCAATAGAAGCAAGTTGGTGGCTGAAACCATCCAGTCAGAAACTCTTCCTTCTATTCAGAGAATCAAACCCAAAAGTCAATTCAAAATTCTCAGCAATTCTGCTGTAAAGACAAGAGTACCAGTGAAACTGACGATGTACACTAAGGACAGCCCAACTTTATCTTGCTAGGTACATAAGACAGTTAATTGGTAATAAATTTCTTCTTTAAGTGAAAAAAAAAAGGGTTAGGATTTTATTTTTTAAATTTGACTAACATTGCAATAGTGTTAATGGTCAACTTGGCAGGATGTACAATGGCCAAGGAGACAAACCTTTGGGCACTTATGTGAGAGATTTTTTTTTTTTTTTGGTTTTTCGAGACAGGGTTTCTCTGTGTAGCTTTGGAGCCTATCCTGGCCCTCACTCTGTAGACCAGGCGGGCCTTGAACTCACAGAGATCCGTCTGCCTCTGCCTCCCGAGTGCTGGGATTAAAGGGGTGTGCTACCAACGCCTGGCCGTGAGGGATTCTTAAGGCTATAATCATGCCATGATTGGATAAATGAGGTTGGGATGTCCACAAAAGACTGGCACCCTTCTCCGGGCTTGGGTTCTGGACTCCCTAAGAAGAAGAAAGAGAGTTCAATACAAGCATTTGCCGTTCTCCACTTCCTGACCATGGGGACAAGAAGACCAGCTGCTTCCTGCTCTTGTCACTTTGCCTTCCCTTCCTTGATGAGCTGTAGTCTTTCTCAAAAAAAAAAAAAAAAAAACCACCTTTCTCTCTTAAGTTAATTTGGTCAATGTATTTTATCACAGCAACAGAAAAAGAAACTAAGATAGCTATTGAAAAGTAAAGTAAAATTTTGTGATTTAGAGATGAAATATGTCAAAAATAAGGTCTTTCTTAACCTTTCTTTTAATAGCTTACTAGTAACTGAAAGTGGAAGTCCACGTTTAAGGGGCGCCTTGGGGTAGCCTCAAATGGCCATAGCTCCATGGGAGATAGTTCTCAAGTTAATATCTAGGGTCCCTGAGACCTTTTCAGGATAAATTTGAGGTAAACTGTTTCCTAAAAATACTAAGAAAATATTTTCCTTTTTTAATGCCCTCAATGCTTTGAATCTAAAATGAACCTAACAGACTCAGGTTTTGAGTCCCTAGTCTCAGGCTTGTGGAAGTATTTTGAGGGCCACAGGGTCTTTTGGAGATGGTGGCAGGCTGATGGGAGCAGGCCAGGAGGGCAGGCTGTGGTACCCACACTCTGCTGTATGAATAGTATGTTCCATGTTTACATTGTCATGAATTTGCCATGCCTACCCCTACTATGATGGACTTGAAATATCTCTATGAGCAAAATATCCTTTCCTCCTTTGTTTCAGTCAGGTATTTTGGGAAAGAAGCAATATACTGTCCTCTCATGCATTCACAGTGCCTTTATCGACTTTACCAGGTAATATCAAAATCAGAGAATGGAAGTTTCTCATGAGAACACAACTATTGAGGCTGACTTTGAACAGATTTGCAAAAGTATAAAATAATGCTATTCTTCTTATTATTTTGTTTTATAAAATTGTTTATTGTTATTAACATATTTCATTGTACAAAATGATAGGTTTCACTGTGACATACACACACACACACACACACACACACACACACACACACATATATATATATGTCTGATATTGCAACCCTAGTATCCTCCTATTGTTTCCCATGCCTCATTGGAAAAATATACATAAATATAGTTCAGTTAATAAAATTACTTGACATTCTTATCCATTTTAGGAGTGTAATTCCTAATTCCAAACTGTGAATTCATGACACATAAATATACAGAGACAAAGGAAAAGATATATAGTTATATGCTGTGGTAGTTTGGATGGGAATGGCCCCCACAGGCTCATATGTTTGAATACTTGGTCCCCAGTAAGAACTGTTTGAGAAGGATTAGGAAGAGTGGCCTTGTTGGAGGAAGTGTGTCCCTGGGGGTGGGCTTTGAGATTTCAAAAGCCCATGCCA